CCTGGTCTCTTCTTCTTCCTCTTTTGATTCTTGGCTTGATTACAGCAGCTTGCTCTGCCAGGCATTCCCCAGCATTGCCATCTGGCACACCCACTAGGACCCAAAGCGTGAGGTTCTCCTGTTTGTTAAGTTGGAAACCCCTAAACTGTGAGCTCAAGTGGATCTTTTCTCTTTATAAGTTAATTATCTTCAGTGTTTTACTGTGGTGACAGAAAGATGACTAACACAGCAGGCTTAGTGAGGAATTAAAAAAAAAAAAATAAAGAATAGCTAGAGCGTGATGATTGTCCTACCATGACCCCACATCTTTTTTATACTTGCATTTGCCTGGAAAGAGCCCTTCCTTCTCCCACTTGGGGGCAGCTTACTCTGGCTGGTTTTTTTGTAGCTTCCAATAGTAGTTCCTAAACAGGCATGCTAGTGCCTCTGCCAATGTGAAATGCAACAGCATGTCCCTTAAACTATGCCAGAGGGGGAAATGCAGATGCTGCAGAGAAGTTTATTTTGCTGTTCTTTCTTCCAACAAACAAAATTCCACAGCCTTACCATGAAATGAGACTTGGTGAACAATAAAAATACAAATACTCAGAACCTGGCTAGGTCTGCAGCCTGCCTGACAGTTGCCTTAATAGTCTCGCATGTCTAGAGTGATAACTTTGGGTCTTTAGATGCTTCTTGACCCAGTYTCTTCATTTACTAAACATAGAAATTGAGGCCCAGAGAAATTCATTTTTTTCACTTTTTCAAGATTATAGATTATATGCCATACTTTCTATTGAAAATGACATGGTGTTTGGTCTGTTCATATCTCATTTTATAAGTGTATGCATAGTGTTCTCCATCAACAAATGATTTTGCTGTAATGGCATGTGGTAGGTTGAAATTCAGAGGTAGACACTAATAATAATAACATCTTATGTGAACTGAGCATTTGGGTTATGTCAGGCCTGGAAAGAGATCAAGCACACATGAGATTGCCTCAAGAGAGCAGAAGTCCTTCCAGGTGAGATAGTGGAAGCCCTCATGTATGAATGAGCAGACCCCCATAATTTTGTTCAATGTGATTTACTAAGTGAAATGACTACCCTGTGAATGTCCATGGGAATGAGCCTGTGCAGAACAGAAAGCTTTTATATTGGCCTTGCAGAAGAGAGCTGTTGATGCTGATGAGTGATAGGGATATCTAGATGCATCTCATAGCATCTTCCTGTGCTGAAAATATTCAGGTAAATCATGGAAAATCCCAAGATTCTAGAACTATTGCAAGAAAGACAGTCCTTGAAGGGTCCTAATGTAAATACTGATTTAGAAGGACCCGTACTTGTGGGGTCATGACGGGTGCCACTGCTGGGCTTTCCCATGGATCTGGGGTCAGAGCTGAGATCTGAAGGCRGCCATTTAGAACCTGAAAGCTATCACTTAGAGCTGACACACCTTCACCTCAGTAAGGCACAGATACCAAATCATTCTTTAAATTGACCTTGCAGAAGAGAGCTATTGATGACAACAGACAAATGGACAACACGGTAGGTCCCAGTAACTCTRAGATTTAGGATAGAGACAGTAGTGGGTTGACCAATGTCTTTATGTGCCCTTGAATGWCCATGATCTAGTTCTATTCCTCCTGGAGTTTTGTYATATGAAATAGAGGTTAGGGCTTAGTTGCAGAAGGTACCTCAGACCTCTGCCATCTTTGAACAACTTAACCAATTCAGAAAGCTCAATGACTAGCACTAGGTTACCCAGAAATGTGTGGTGGAGTTGAATTATTGTGTTAAGTTGGGCAAGTACATTTTTCTAGGCCTCCATTGCCTCATCTGTAAGAGAGTTGAGCTGAATAAAGGATATCACCCAACTCTAACCTGTGTTTCTCTCTGAATAGGAACATGGGGAAGAACTTCTGAGAAAGCTCTAATGGGGCTGTACTTCTCAGAGGCACAATACAGTGACCAACTTTTCCTTGTAGATGCAGGACAGCTGCTAGTGATTTTTGTCGGTGAGTCCCTATTCATGATACTGAGCATAGGTTTCTTGACCAGTTAGTTCTTCATCTGAAGATAGAATATGACAATTTACATCATCTGGACACATTGCTCTCCTAGTGTTCTCTGAACTTGTACCCACCTTCCCCATCAGAAGAAATGTAGGCAGGTGGTTTCATCTCTAGAGAGGTACTGTACTGTGTAGAAATGTATTGGACTTCTTTTTTATGAACCTTTTCTTGAATCAATTTCCAAAGTGACAGAATAAATTTCCATGATTGACAGATCCATCAATTGTAAAGGCATCATATTATTTTTTAATGAAATCTTTCTTTTTTGGGGGGGAGGTGGACATGGGCATAGCAGGTGTGCTTTGGATATATGTTTATCTGAAGGCATAAAATAAACATGTTTCTTTGTCATCAAGCCACTTGTTTTCCTGTAAACATTCCTTACATAGCTCAAAGGTATATTACTTGGTGTGGAAAGTTTCAAAAATTGGAAAGCAGACATAATTTAGCAAAATAAATAGAAACCAATGGACATTATATGATACAGGGTCAGTGTTGTTGTTTGTATGTGGCTTAATCAAACCAAACCATCAAGTTGAATTACTGCAAGTTCATTTGCCTGAACTTTAGAAGGTGGATTAGGAGCTGCCCGTGGTCACTGTGCGTGAGTGCAGATAGATGAAAGGGGCTCCAGCAAGTTGGAGGAACATGTTTTCATGTAGTCGGATTTAAGGATAGTTCAAAAATCCTTTAAAAATTTGTCCACAATTAGAATTAAATTTGCTGTTCAAATTTAATTTGCTGTTCAAACTACAGAGCAGCTATTTGTTTTTCCAAGGTGGTAGTCTCTTAAATTCTTTGATCTGTTTGTTCATCCTTGAAAGCTAAGGACAAATTATGTGATCTCAAAATTCTCTTATAGGTAGTATTTTTTAAAAAAATTTGTGAAAGTAATGTGTTGTGGAAATGGTGTGTCTTACTTGGGATCTTTTAAATAATCTCACTATAAAGGGCAATCATTTAAATTGTGATTTTTTTTCAGAATAATAGTTTGAGAGATTATTTTCAATCTTCTCCTCTTCTGTAGTTGAAGGAAGAGATTTCTTTTCTTATATTTTAACCATGCAAGACCCTGAATCTATCACACTGATCACTAGCCTATATGATCTGTTCATGCACATCATTTTTCTTTATGTCAAAAACCATGAAAATAAATGAGAGTATGGCATCATAATTTATGAGTTCCTAAGCCTCACAGTCTTCTACCTATTTTSTTTTACACTGGTAAATCCTTCTGTGGGTGGAGTAGGTAATCACAGAAAATAAATGCCAAGCTCACTTATGTAATTTTTCATGAA